ACAGCTGGAGCCTGTTCCCAGTGTGCGCATGCGCAGAGCTGCCAGATGAAGGGAAGAGCTAAAGAACGGGACGACTTGGGAGGAAGGCCTCAGGAGGATGGTGAATGGCCCCTCCCAGAGGGAATAAAAGAGGAGCAACCGGGGAGTGGAGTTTGCAGGAGGCCATTAGTTCATTTAATTGGTTTGGAGACTCCTGGCCGAGTTCTGCAGATCTCGGCCTGGAAGCTCTCCAAGCCAGATGAGGTCTGTGACCGTAAATCCTCCTTTGAAAGACTTGGCTGGAGGTGAAGGAGCCGAATTGACAGTCAATTAACAAAAGGGGTTTTTGTCGGGACCAGGAGTTGGCTTCCGTCAGAGCACAAACTGGTTTCCCTGCCCTCTTCCTCCTCCCGCCCCATCTCTTCCCCTTCCAGTGCCCCTCGTGCTCCAAGTGCTTCCTCTCGCGCACGGAGCTGAGCCTCCACGAAGCCTTCAAACACCGGGGCGAGAAGCTCTTCGTCTGCGAAGAGTGCGGCCACCGCGCTTCCAGCCGGAACGGCCTGCAGATGCACGTCAAGGCGAAGCACAGGTGCCGGCGGGGAACGGGCGCGGGTGGGAGAGCTTCAGCTGGCTGGGGGACGCTGCAGTCTTATCTGACGGGGGCGCTTCCTCCTCTTGCCAGGAACGAACGGCCGCACGTCTGCGAGTTCTGCCAGCACGCCTTCACCCAGAAAGCCAACCTCAACATGCACCTCCGGACCCATACGGGCGAGAAACCCTTCCAGTGCCACCTCTGCGGGAAAACCTTCCGCACACAAGGTGCGGGGCGAACCTGGTTATCGGCTGCCTCCTCGCCGGTGATCTGGCTGTAGCACGGCACAAAGTGGTGTCTCCACCGGCCAAACGAGAAGCGAGCAGGGTCGTCCGGACGGAGTGGGATTCTTTCCGGCTCTGCGCAGGTCGTCCTCGAGTTACGGCCACGGTGGAGCCCCAGGTTTCTGTTGTTAAGCGAGATATTTGTTAAGCGAGTTTCGCCCCATTTTACAACCTTCCTGGCCACCGTGGTTCCCTGCGGTTGTTCAAGGCAGTGACACGGTTGCTAAGCGAGCAATGTGGACTTTGCTTACCGGAAGTTTGCAAAACTTGATTCATGGGACGCTGCAAAATTCAAATTTAATGAATCTATATGCGACTTACAGGAGAAAAAGGAGAAAAGTTAAAAATAGAGAAACGCAGATTAACTGCAACCGTCACAGCTGCAACCGTCATAAAGATGAGTCACTGGCCAAGCATCTGAATTTGGATCACGTGAGCGGGGAAATGCTAAAAACGATCCTCTGTGAAAAACAGTGATAAGTCCCTAAGCGAAACTCACTTAACTTGTCTCACTTAGCATCCAAAACTTGGAGGTCCATTTTGGTTGTAAGTTGAGGATGAACTGTTGATGCCACAAACACTAAATTAATAATAAGAAGGCAACCAGGATCAGGTGTGTAGGAGTGGGTGCGGTGGCCTGGAGGTGGAGCTCGAGTTCGATCCTAGTGAGAGGCAGGTATTTCTCTCTCTCTGGGCACAGTGAGAATACATCTCCTGAACAAAACTCCACTCTGGTGACAGGATAGGCATCCGGCCAGGAAACACTCAAGCTCCATTCAGTTGTCCAAATTCCACCCCGCAAAGGATTGTGGGGGTCGTTAAAAGAACATGATAATGAAGCAGGATCAGATGTGTGTGTGTGGGGGGGGGGTGTCTCTCCCTCCAAGCTGTGAAGGACGCACAAGAGATCCGGTCACAAGTGCGAGACAAAGCCACATCCTGCAGGTTCACCTCGTTTTTGTCCTCGCCCCGCAGCGAGCCTGGATAAGCACAACCGGACCCACACGGGGGAGCGCCCCTTCAGCTGCGAGTTTTGCGCCCAGAGGTTCACCGAGCGAGGCCCGCTCCTCAGACACGTGGCCAGCCGGCACCAGGAAGGGCGGCCACACTTCTGCCAGATCTGCGGGAAAACGTTCAAAGGTAAAAACGGCCGGATCGCGGGAAAACCCGGGCCGCGTCTCTCCCGCCCTGCGAAGGAAGCAGCTCACCCAGTGGCGCCCTTTCCTTTCGGGGAGCAGGGGCCGACTCCAGGCGCCCTCCCTTTTTTTGGGGGGGGGGGGGTTTAAAGGCGTGGGATCCCGCCACGACTTAACCGATTTCTGTCCCCGTAGCGGTGGAACAGCTGAGGGTCCATGTCCGTCGACACAAAGGGATGCGGAAGTTTGAGTGCACGGAATGCGGATACAAATTCACACGGCAGGTATGGTGTGTGTGTGTGTGTGTCCGCGCGTCCTTTTTGCCTTCTGTGAGCCGCAGTGGCGCAGTGGTTAGAGTGCAGTATTGCAGGCAAACTCTGCCCATTGCCAGAAGTTCGATCCTGACCGGCTCCAGGTTGACTCAGCCTCCCGTCCTTCCGAGGTGGGTCAAATGAGGACCTGGATTGTTGCCGGGAGCGGGGTGGGGTGGCAAAAGGCTGGCTCTGTAAAGCGCTTAGAGAGGGCTGTAAAAGCTCTGTGAAGCGGGATATAAGTCTAAGGGCTATTTCTATTCTTTGTTATCGGTTCGAGGTGGGAAGGAGTCATCTTAGGTCAAAAAAGTTTTCGAGAAGAGATTGACAGGGATTTGTCTAGAATGGTCTAAGGTCTCCTGCTTGAGCAGGGGGCTGGACTAGAAGACCTCCCAGGTCCCTTCCAGCTCTATTCTGATTGATTGATTGATTGATTGATTGATTGATTGATTGATATGGTCTAGGGTCTCCTGCTTGAGCAGGGGGCTGGACTAGAAGACCTCCAAGGCCCCTTCCAGCTCTATTCTGATTGATTGATTGATTGATTGATTGATTGATATGGTCTGAAATGGTCTAGGGTCTCCTGCTTGAGCAGGGGGTTGGACTAGAAGACCTCCAAGGCCCCTTCCAGCTCTATTCTGATTGATTGATTGATTGAAATAGTCTAGGGTCTCCTGCTTGAGCAGG